ATCTCCAGCAGATCTGAACAGGGTTTCTCGAGCTATGCAGATTTATGGTATCGAGAGGTGTGGGTGACGGTTCGGATTTTGTGCACCGTGCTTAACTCCAAAACTCACTCATGCCAGAGTCCAAGATGGAAGTTGGAGCCGTGGAGGTGCCTGCAACTGGCGCTGCAAAGCTTGCAGGAAGACTGCAGCTCTGACCAGTGTGGAGTCGGACCTCTTTGGTGGGCAGAGACTTTCCCTACGAGCCATTGCAGGAGCTCTTTGGCTCTACTCGTCGAAGCTTCATCTCCAGACGACTGCAGTCTTCTTCTTGGAGTGGACAATCAAGCAATCCGGACGCTGTTTGAGGCTTTCAACCAGCACTTTGTGCCCATCATTGACCAGTTGAATGATGCCATTGTGGTTGGAGGCTGCAGTGCCGACGTTGAATTGGACGAGATTTCGTTTCGCTCCACTGGTCGAGCGCATGGAATTGTCTGGCTCAGATACTTGGCCGTCGCACGGCGTGGATCAAGCTTGGTGTGGCTTCAGCGTTTGGGATACCGCATTTCGCGCCAGGGTCAAGGAGGAGGCGGCCCCATTTCTGTCGAAGAAATGTGGTCGGCTCTGCTGTTGGACTCTGACCAGCCCAATTCTGGCGAAGGGAAGTGTTTGCCACACTGATGGCGCAAAAGCGTATCGGTGGTTGTCCAGTCCATTGAACGATGGAACTTTGGTAGACGCTGCGGGTTTGAAGCTTGCACACACGTGTGTGAAGCACAAACCCCCCCACCCAGAGTTTTCGAAGAAAATGCGGGTCCAGGTTTGGGTTGGGGACCACTACGAGGAGCAGGCAAGAGTCGGCGGAACCCAAAAAATAGATGGGTTCTTCGCGAGGTTTAGACGTGTTGTAGGGCGACGCCCTTTCAACACTGTAAGGCGCCGCGCATGGACCAGCTAATGCATTTCCATGTGCGACTTTTCCAGTTGAAGCACTGGTTTGGAGGCCAGGATATGTTTGCCGTTTTTGGAAAGTTTCGACAGTCTCAAAGAGACGTTGGGGCAGTGACTTGGGCATCCATGTCCGCCTTCAAGCCGCCTTACGTAAACCCGGAACCTGTACAGCACAATCCGGTAGTCTTTCGGGACGGAGTGCAAGTCCTCACCTTGGACTGAGTCCTGGCAAAGCGAAAACAGCTGTTGTTGACCGTGGGAAACCAGGAAGCAGTGAGTGTTGGAAGCGAAAGCAAGCCAAAAAACGTTTTTTTTTCGCTGGCGGCGCGCGCTTCGCGCGCGCCGCTAATTTGTTTTTAGTTAATAATTAGTAACCGCGCGAAACGCCGCGCCCGGCTGAACTAACAGTTCCCGGTCCGAACACCGGACCCAGCCCTACGGACGGAACCGATTGGACTTTCGCCAACGGAAAAAAGAGGGTGGCTTTGTACTGCTTCGTTGTGTTAGTAGCACACCATCTCGCCCACCTCAAACCGGAAGCTAGGCCCGAACGAAGGGTTTTGTTTCAAGAGTTAAGAATTTTTGATTATGGTTTCACGGGAGGCTTCGTGGTGGAATCTTGTTAGAATGTGTCAAAGGTTCAGTGGTTGGGTTCAAGATTTTCTGTCTTTAAAATTTTCGTGTTCCGGTTTAGACTGTAAGGATTTGGCCTCCTGATTGTTCTGGGATTCCGCTTTGCGTTTATAGGGGTCAGGGCTTTGGTTCGGTTAGGGTTTGCTTTGGTGAGTTGTGTTTAATGCATTTTCGCTTAGGAACACACCCTTGTTGAAGTGTGACAAAAGCAGGGTAAGGATTGGAGTAGTGATTGGTTAGCGGTTAATGTTTGCGCGCTCCCACGTTTGACTTTCGACTTTTCATGCTTCCCCCACTCTCGCAATCTCAAGTTCCCAAACTGTTAACATCGGAATTCGACTGAGTCAAAATTTCCACTTCTGCCCGAAAAAAATTCAGATTCGACAGCTAACGCGATGTCGGAAATTCGCCGCCCTCTAGATCTTTCAAAACCACTAGAATTCTAGTTACTGAGCTCATTTTTCAATAAATAAGTTTCAAGCTACCGATCTCGCCGGCAACTCGGGAAGTGCACTTGGATCGAAGTGTCATGGCCTCAGATGCTTGAGCATGAATCTCTCAAGCATTCGAACTCTTCTGGACCACCAGATCTTCCCGCCTTCGAACTCGCAACATCGAACATCCGTGAGATTTCACACTGTAGATGTAGATCTTTGAAGAGAATTGAGCTCGGCAGCACGTAAAGCTTGGAGGTTGAGATTGAGCCGAACTCGAAAGTTTGAATGCAATCTTCAAGTTGAAAAGCTCGAAGATTGATGCAATACTGAATTTTGGAATTCTAGCCCTAGGCTTGCGACTGCCAGCTCATCCCTCAGCATAAAGGTTTGGGGTTCAGAGTTTGGGAGAACACGGATAGCTGCTGCAGAAGAAATTCACAAGGATTATGAATGATAAAATGTCATTTTATGATTGATTCACGGCTTGCTGAGAACGTACCCTCAACCTCTCGGGGAAGGCATGCCAATAACAAAACTTTTTCTGATCAAAAACGTTTTCCAATCAAAAATCGCTTTCCCAATCAAAAAAGTTTTCCCAATCAAACAGAAACTTTCCCGCTGCAGTAGCATAAAAGGAGGAAGGAAGGACGGACGGACGGAAGGAAGGACGGAAGGAAGTAAGGAGGGAAGGAAGGACGGACGGAAGGACGGAAGGAAGGAAGGAAGGAAGGAAGGAAGGAAGGAAGGAAGGAAGGAAGGAAGGAAGAGAGTGTGTCTGCGTGTGTGTGTGTGTGTGTGCGTGTGCGCATGTGTGCAGCGTGCTGAAGCTGAGGTTCAGTTGGTTCCACGGCGAAATGTGCCAATGGCAGAAAGAGCTCCTTTTCTGCAAAATGCGTCAGCGATAGTTTCAGGCTTCTGACTTGGCCTTGATGACAGGCCGCACAGACCAAGATGAGCGGAATGAAGAGTTCACATGATGCCAGAGATGTTCTTGACATAGCTCGGGTACAAGAGCTGGCGCCAGCAGCAGAAGCAGGCCTGTGCAGTATTCGTGTGGTGGTGGATTGCAAAGAATGCTGCTTGAAATGGTGACCTTGAGCAGGATCCACGCTCCTGGATGCAAAGGCCTTCTGCATTTATGCTGCCATAAGTGCACCAACATGTAGGAGTTTTATTTTGCCAGTAGGACGGCAGGGCTTGATCTGCCACAAGCATAGCATGTCTGACATCCTCTGTAGGGAGTCTCGCAAATTTGGGTCTCTAACCTACAATGCCTGTTCTTGGCTCAAAGGGGCTTTGAAGTCGTTTATTGAACCCCGCGAGCTGACTGTAGACAGAAGTTGATGCTCAGCAGGTGGAGAAATCTTCCGCACTTGCGTCATCTGGCCGGAGCCGGTCCCCCTCCCCTGCGGAGGCCGAAAATGAAAGTCTTGGGGCTTCTGCACGGACTTGTGAAAGTTGTTCTGCTTGGGTTGAACTTGTAAAGCGCATGCATGAACTGGCCATGCACGGTGAGTGATCTGCATCGGACTGTATTTCCTTGTTTATTCGCATGGTCACTGCGGTGATGGGAGGAGCGCCAGCGTTCGGCATCGCCTTTTCCGGACACAGAAGTGAAATCAGTAGCCTCCTGACAGCACTTGTGCTGGTTGGGACTGGGCTCAATTCTCTCAGTTCGGTCCATGCCACAAGATTTCAGGACGTCGGAAGGCTTTCTGGCACTTGCACGAAATCCCGAACTGCTCAGGTTCCTATGACGATTGATGAGCCCAATCAGACAGCATTGTAGAGTGTGGACGAGATTTTGACGGTCATTTCCCCAGCTCCCAAGACTCATGAGAAGAGCGATGTCGCGCCGTTATGAGGATTCGCCCACACATAGGCCTGCTCTGTGCGGGCATTGTTCATAGTTATGTAGTCGGAGAGAGCACGCCCAGCGCAGCGCTCTCAGCTTGCCTGCTGCCGTGCCTTTCCAAGCTTGACAGCCGCAACAGACGGCCCACCTAATGTCGATAATGTTCCGGTGCTGCCGCAGCGCAGAAGCCGCCCGGCTTTCCGAGCTTGCTTTTTTGGGATGTTGCTGTCGTGCTAATGCACAGCAACGATTGCCGTATTCCGAGCTCGAGGCCACACGCTCAGGAAGAAAAAACAAGCAAGTTTTGCAGAACAGGTTCTGCCGGGCACATGCAAAACCGAGGGATGGAGGCTTGGCTATCTCCGCAGGCGGCGGTCGTAAGAACATGGTGCTGCCTACTCGAAGGAGTGGTTATCATGCTTGTGTCCTTTTGATTAAGGCTGTGTGGCTCAAGCCGAACAGCCCATCCTGTGTGATGTGAGAAAGATGTGGACTCCGATGTGTCCACGTCCAATGTGAATACCAATGTTTCTTACGCTGGTGCTTGTCTTCGGACAGCTCTGGTCCGTGTCATGCCTGACATGCACGACGTCACGCCCTGAGAAAGCCAAGTCTTGTGCTCTCAACTGGGGTCACGAGACATCGGCCAAACATGACAGTGACCCCATGGGTGCAACTCTGACACGACAGTTCTAAGGCCTGGATATGGGCTGGACGCCAGCGCCGTCCCTCCGGCGTGCTCTTGCCCGCATTGACCCGATCTGCTTCGATATGTTTGTTTACCACAGGGCCGCCAAGCAACCGCATGCTGGTCGGAAGGCTTAGAGAAGCACTAAACGTGCAGTAGCCGAATCTTGGACGAGGAGCTCTCAAGCTCTGCATGTTCGCCAGCAGCACTGCAGACTAGCAGCCGTGTTCGTCTGAACAAGAAGACACAATAACCGAAAACTTGATAATATTGCACCCAGACTCAACCGGCTCGAAACCGGGTCTGGGCTGCTTCGGGGCTGACAGGATGGTCAAAAGCCCGGTCTCCCGTTTGTTCAGACGAATTGTAGGTGTGCTATCTTCACGGGAGGGTGGTCATGCCGTACCAGTCCAGACTAGTAGACTAGATGGTGAGGGATTGCATACAGCAGACGTCACCGACAGTTAGCGGGTACCCAATCACGGGATTCCGGCTGTCACCGGAATCGGCTGCAGGGAAGGGACGGGCGCAGTAGACTTCCGAGAGGTGGGATTCTTCAGATGCATGCAAATCCGCCACATTTCCGTGTGGAAAATACACTTGACTGCATGTTCTGTGTTCGCGAGTTTTTTCCATCAATGCACCCCTTCTTCGATGGTGCGAGGGCTGCTTTCGGGATGTCGTTCTTCGGGAGCTCGAGCCATCCCTGTGCAGTGATTGACAGTGTAAGCTGCGACAGGTGCGTTATTTGCCGGGAGCTCAATATCGTGCGGCGAGTTTGTGCAGGAAGGCTGTAGCTGTAGGTTCAACCATGCCAGTTTAGCCAGGGACCTTGTAGCCGGCCAAGGTGATTATGGCACTTTCTGGGACAGCGGATTTTGCAACGTTTGTCCGGCAGGAAGGTATGCTGACTCTCAAGGTCAAGTGGATTGTACAGACTGTCCGGAGGGGACTTACTTGGCTGATGATGGCGAGCTGTGGCAGCTCCATGCACATGCTCACTTCTGCACTCCCTGTCCTCCTGGCCGAGCCTCGAACCAAATCGCAGCAGCGAATTGCACAGCATGCCATCCAGGAGAACATACTTCCGCGCCAGGAAGTCTCAGCTGCGACCCTTGTATTTCTGGTGTGGCAACACACCCGGGAACAATCGTATGTGGTGCGTGCAATCCCGGGTTTCAGCCATCAAGTGACCGGACGCTGTGTGAGAAGTGCCAACCCGGATACTACAGCGACGAAGGTTTCTTCTGCTACCAGTGCATGACTGGAACAGTGGCTGCTGAAGGGTCCTCCGAGTGCACGCAGTGTGCAAACGGCCGATACGAATCGAACCTTTCGGAATGTATCGATTGCCCAGCTGGAAAAGCCAGCTGGTATGGATATCCTTGCTATGACTGTTGGTATGGGGAGGTTTCCAGAGGCGGAGAACTGTGCCAAGGCTGCCCTGCGGGCAGATTTTCTAATACGCAGGGGGCAAGCAGGTGCGAGAAATGCGCAGCAGGAACATATTCGAGTGAATATTCTGAAAGTTGCAGCGAGTGCTGGTGGGATCAGGTGTCTTCTGAAGGCAGCCCGAGCTGCGAGTATTGCCCTGGAGGCTCTGTGCCAAAGTCGGATCGTACAGCCTGCGAGCCTTGTCCTGCAGGGAAGTTTGCCCAAGCAGGCAGTTTTTCTTGTTACGAATGCTATTGGGGACAGCATTCCCCAGCTGGTAGCACATCATGCCTCGATTGTACTGGCGGATCGAAGCCGAACTCCCTTCGCACAGCTTGCGAACCGTGCGAGGCTGGAACGTTTGCTCAGCCAGGCCAAGATTTTTGCAATCCCTGTGGGAAGGGCCAAAGCCGTACAGAAAGTCAGGAGCAGTGTGAACCGTGCGAGCCGGGCAAGTACAACCCCAACACCACTGCTGACACTTGCACGGAGTGTCCGCCTGGCCGATACACTGCCAATGCAGGCCGCGGGTCCTGCCAAGCCTGTCCGGCTGGGCGGTACTTCAGTGGTACTGGTGCAAATGAATCGTCAGCATGTACCCCGTGCCCAGGCGGACAAACTCAATCCACGGGCGCTGTCACGGCCGATTCCTGTATTCAGCCTGGCACGAATCAATCGGTGGAATGCATCGCGGGTAAGACCTGCTCCTTTGTGTTCGCCGAGGGGCCCGGGCTCCTGGACACCAGCGTGCACGCGGTCAATGTGAAAGTCGATTCCTGCGAGCCCGATCCGACCGAGCTGGAGGACTTTCTGAATGACCTCAGCATGTTCTTTGATCAGTTGGGAGGAGGATACAGTTATGGCAGTTATGGGCCAGCAGGCGGATATGGTGGGTTTCAGGGTTATGGCGGTGCACCTGGTGGCTTTGGTGGCTACGGGAGTGGATTTGGTGGCTTTGGAGGTGGGTTCAGTGGACCTGGTGGAGGCGGCCCAGGTGGGTTTTATGGCGGCTACGGGCGGAGGCTGGAGTCAGGAGGCGTCGTGAATGGCTTCGGGTCTTCAAAAGTTTGGATCGCCTCCAACTTTACGGTTGCTTGGCCCGACAAGATCACAGCGGAGCCTGGTAATTACAAGCTGTGCTGGTGTGGTGGGGTTGGTTATCAGGGATACAACATCCCTTCGTATCTCCGTTGCATTTCAGACGTGATGTACGACTTTGAGGCCGGGTCCATGGCTGTGGCTGGGCCTTTCCAAGGTCAGTTTTTCTCCTGTGTTCGAGGCAGAGTCTGCAATGCGGGCCGATTACGAGGTGTGGGTTTGACGCAAGAGGACACACTAAACCTGCGAGCTGCCTGCACAGTGGATGGGGCCAGGAGATTCACAGGGGTGCCATTCCAAATCTCCGCCGTGCCTTCTTCTGATGTCCCTGGAGAAGTAGACCTAGATTTCGGACTCAATTACACCGTCTACGACGCACCAGGTGCCTACACTCTGTGTTGGTGTTCTTCCAAAGGCACGCCTTGCAGCACTATGGACTTGCGGGTGGACAGCGACAGCGATGTCTATTTGGAAACGCAGGCTGCGACCTTGAGCCTGGACGGCCCAAATCCTGGGGCAGAGGTGGAATGCTTTCTGGGGCAGATCTGCTGGCTCTTTCTGGAAATGCAAGGCCAAAACCTCCAAAATGGAGACCGCCTCACAGCTCTGCCGAAATGTGGCGATGATGACAGCTTCATTACAGGCTTTCCTTCTCCGGGCTATGCAGATGCGTCCCAAGACGGTTTGGTGTTTATCTTCAACGGAGGTACCTTAAGCACCGAGCCGGGAATTTACCAAATGTGCTGGTGTCGTCAGGAAGCAGCATCCGGCTTAGCTTGTGACAAGGCAAGTGACTTCACTACAACCATAGGGCTGTTTCTCGCCACCGGACCTTACTCTGGTCAGACAGCCTCGTGCGAGCTCGGCTCCGAATGCATCGTTCCCGCCTTTCGGGGAGTCAGCTTGTCGACGAGAGATCCGGTCGTGCCAATGACCGCTTGTAAAGAGCTGACCGCGGCGGCCAACTTTCCTCCTCCGGCCAGCCCCATCTACGCCTCGCAGAAAGACGGAGCCTGGGTTCTCAATCTCGGAGAGCTGCACATCGGGAACGACGCGGTGCCAGAGATCCTGGAGCTTTGTTGGTGCTCCATGAGATCCCAGACTGCTGATGAGTCCGTTGAGCCTTGCACCCAGAATTTTCATTTTGGGGCCGCTGGAATCACGCTCTACTTGGTGTGCCCACCGGGCTATTACGAACTGGTGGGTGCTTCCAAGACCTGCCAGCTGTGCCCTCCAGGGTACTACTGCCCAGGCGGCTGGGGCAAGTCGAAGATTTCTTGCCCTGCAGGAAGCACTTCTGCTGCTAAAGCAGAATCGGTGGACGATTGCCAGTGCAGGCGGGGCTATTTCGTGGATGAGGCCGTTGGTGCTTGCATGGCCTGCTTGGCGGGGACATTCAAGAATTCCGTCGACAGGCTCCGTGAGTGCCCGGGCGACTGCCCACCTCAAACGACATCCGCAACGGGTGCAATAAGTATGTTGGAGTGCTTCTGCGAGAACCAGGCTGTTGACATTGACAGCCGTCAGGGAGTCTTTCAGTGCACAAGCCTGGACTCTCTATCTGACGTCTCCAGCAACGGATCAGCTCTCTTTGCATCGAGTCAGGTGCCCGTATATTCGTTCAGTGGCTCCCTGGCTGTATTGGATGCTTCAACCCAGGCCTTGCTGGATGAGATCAGTGAAAAGATCACCGAGCGCCTGGAGCTCACCGGCT